ATATCCAAATGATCAAGCCCACTTTAGGACTGGTCACCTGGATTTGCCCCCCGACCCCCGCCTCTAAACAAGGAGCCAGGAAATGCTTCCCCATCTTCAAGGGGTGGGGTTAAGTGGGGTACAGTGGAGATGAGTGATTATTCACCACCCAGATCTCTTCAGGAACAACTCCACTACCAAGGCCAAGGGTTACCCTTGTACAAGAATACCCACAGTCCTGAGTCTAGAAAGACATTCTCCCAGTATAAGCCTGTATCAGTTCAGCACAATAAGCAGGTTTGGAGGAAGTGGGGCAGTCTGCAGCTAAATGTGTGGGCAAGGAGCAGGACAGCCTCGAGGTTGATAGAGCTGGTTCTAGAACCAGACCATCACTACTTAAATCCCAGCCCTGCCATTTACTCTCTGGCATCAAACTTCTTAATGTCTCTGCCTCAGACGCTTCATGTGTGACATGGGCACCATAATAGAACCAAACTTATAGTGTAAATGAGAGGCTACCTGTGGCGCCTTAGAACAGGGACTTAGAACAGGGAGCAGCAAAGGCTCCGTTCTTGCTCACTGCCATTAGAGTGTGCCAGAGCTATTGGTGGGCATGGGCTGACCCCAGCAATTTCTTGTCCAGAGCCAGTCAGAGGTAGGTGCTTCAGCAGCTGGGCCTGGGATGAGAGGCCATGGAGTTTTAAAGGTGGTGGCAGCTTGGGACATCAAGGGGAGATTCTCATGTAGGAGCACAGACCGTTCATGGAGCTGGGATCCTTTTAGAAACAGCTGCCCTTTATCATACTGGTATCACCCTTTTTTACTTTTTATTTTTATTTTGGTATCATTAATCTATAATTACATGAGGAACATTATGTTTACTAGACTCCCCCCTTCACCAAACCCCCCCTGACAAACCCCATTTCAGTCACTCTCCATCAGTGTAGTAAGATGCTGTAGAATCACTACTTGTCTTCTCTGTGTTGCACAGTCTTCTGGTATGGAGTGTTTTTTGGCCTAAAAACCCTTTTAAAGGCTGTTTCCCCAAAGAGCCAATCGGAGGTTGCTGCACCCTCAGCCTTTGCGCCACTTACTGGGTATGTAATACACACTCACCTGTTTTGCACTCTCTCAACTCCTCCCAAGATCCCTCTTGGGAGGTGAGTGTAGTTATTATCCCCATTTTACAGCTAAGGGAACTGAGGCACAAGGTGGTCACACACCCTCATGTAAGTACTTATGAAAGAACCAGGATTTGAACATGGTGGATTTGACTGCAGGGCTTGATCGCACTATGCTACAGGCAGGAGGCCCACGATGAACCACCTGCATGGGCTGGGCAGGGAACACAGACAGGGAAGGTGGCCTGGGACTGAGGGATGAGGATGGTGGTCAACTGGGGGAGGGAGAACCACTGAGCTCCAGCTCCAGCTGTCCTGTGGGATCACAGATTCTCTGTTTCTATATCTTCTCATTTTCTGAAAAGATGCCAAAAATCTGCATCTTTACGTGAAATCTCCCCATTTTAAATTTTGGTTCAAGTGGTCTTTTAAAACATGTGCCATCCCAACAAATCATCACTTGGGCTCACCATGCTGTGACCTCTGTGCCAGCTTCTCTAGTATAGCCCCTCGGAGAGGGCCAGCCCAGGGGTGGGTCCACTCTGCTGCTGGCACCCTGGGCTCCAACCACCACACCTCCCGGACTCTTCTTCTCCTCCCAGATGATAGGCCCTTTTCTATTCTGGGCCAGGGTTGGGGAGGAACTCCACACAAATTTGTGTCGGTTCTCTGTGACATTTTCCCATGGTTTGAGGAGGGGAAGTTTCAGGTTTTCCCAATCCCCTCACAAAATTCCCTCCACGCTACCATCCTCCTATTAGTCATGACACCCCCTGTCCCAGACATTAACTACACTGGTGTCTTTCCCATACATGAATGTTGAAGATAACAAGATGGCATTACAGACCAGTGGCTAATGAGTTCATTGTTTTTTTTGTTTTTTAGTTTTCAGGAGTGGTGACAGTTCTGCAGGGAACCAATCACACTCTCCCACAGCCTGAATTAATGTAAGCAAGATGGCTAAAGAGCTGTCTGCTAATCACCAACTTGCTCATGTGGGAGAAGCTGTGGACAGGGTGTGTGGTTCTGGCTTCATTACACAAATGCTGTGTGACATCTAGCCTCCCCTCCTGATGAAGGATGTGAAAAAGGCAATGAGCATCCAATAACCAGTGTTGTTTTCAGGCCCTGCACTTTGTTAAATGCTTTAACACATAGTCTCTCATTTAATTTTCACCACAAACAACCCCTTTTTTACAGATGAGAAAACTGGTTCAAAAAGGTTGAGGGGGCCTGCTTGAGTTGATGTAGATAGGCAGGTGATTAGAACTAATAATATCCGTATCCTTTGATGTATTTGCCTCCTTTTCCAGGAATTTATCCCAGGAAATAATCAGAGATGGACCCCAGTTATTTATGTTTTAGGATGTTCACCACTGTGTTCATTTTAAGAGTAAAATATTAGAAACAATGTCCGATCATAGGGGATTCTTAAATAAATTCTAAGTTCATAGATAGAGCAACTATGTAGCCATTCAAAATCAACCTACATTTTACTTCCCCAGGAAGTATTAGGCAGTTGCTTAACCTTCAACCTCTGCAATTCCCTTTCCCCAGAAGATGATTTCTGATGGCTCTACCAGTAACTTGGTTAAAAACAAAACCAAACAGGCCACTTGTTTCCACGTCTAGTCCACATTAAGTGCCACTCTCCCTGGGTGCTTTTCTTCTCACCTGAGCAGATTGCCTAAGCATGTGCCTCTGATCTCAGACCAAAGGGCTTTTTGTTGAGGACTGTGCATTTGGGAGACTGCTTCCTTAATCTTAACCATAACAGTTAAAAAATAAAAAATAAAAAACCAGGCATGCTTTTCACATAGCACTGTACAGCACAGAAGGTCTCAAGCACCCTTTCATTCAGCAAACACATATGAGTGCCTGTTCTGTGCCAGGCACACAGGAGGCTTTAGAAGGACAAAGATGAAAGGGACACAGCCTTATCCTTCATGGGTGACACAACTGAAGGATTGCTGTCATGGAGGAGTTTCAGCCCTAAACAGATGCCTCTCCATAGGCCCTTTCCTAAGTGTCCTGAATCTAGTGTCCAGCAGACCTGGAATCTGAAGACCTGTGTCTGAGTCTCAGCCACTTACTGGCTGGGGGACCCTGAGTTCTCAACTTGAGTTTTCAGTTTTCCTATCTGTAAAATGGGGCCCCAAACTGCACTTCCTTCACAAGGCTGTTGGAGGGTGAGATAAGGCATGACAATATTTTCTTAACATCCAGAGCCCTGTATCCTCCTTAGTCATTATCTCTCTGTCCACAGTTCTCTGGCTTAGCAAATAAAATGTAAAGCCATATTAGTGTACTTGTTAATCTGCTGCCCTGCCCACAAAACATGGATGCTTTCACAGAGATGGAATAGGGCCTCCTGGAAACAGGGCATGTAGACCCCACAGAACCACCTCAGTGACTTTTTTGAGAGAAAATTCTTCTGGACAGACATACTCTGTCTGTATTTTTTAAATCTCACCATGCCAATAGTCCCTTGCCCCACCAAGGAAAGTGTGGCTTTTCTCTCACAGCCCCAAAGTCACTAAAAACCTTTCGGCCCCTTCTCCCCATCCAAACACCCCTCACCTTGGGGAGGTCCGTGGCTCCACGGATCCGCTGGGCCACCTCCTCTCCATCAGGGTGGATCTTGGTCACGTGCTTCCACATCCTTTCCCAGGTGGGCTCGTCCACAGGCAGCCCACCCCGGTTGACAAAGAACGGGATGCCTCCATCTCGCAGGTCCTCTTCCCCGTCTTCCTCTGGCTCATCCTCTCTCTGGGCCGAGGCTCCTTCGCTGGTCTCCAAACGCCTGACTCCTGAGGGGGCCGCAGCAGCGGTGGGCACACCACCACTGCTGCCACCCCCGACCACCTTCTTCCCCCCTGGCATCCCCAAAACCTTGGCGGGGTTGGGAGGTGGTATGAGGAGGCTGGAAAAAATAGGTGGTTCACAGGAGACCTCGCACACACCAGCGGCAGAGATAACACATGGCCAAGCAGAGTGCAAGGCTCCTTTAAGAAACCAGGGCGTGGCTCCTGTACAATAAAATACTACTTGATAAGAAAAAAAAAATCAGTGCCTCCACGTGAAGTGGGAGGAGAGGTGGTTATCCGTGATTAGCCTTAAAGGCCTTGTTCTGTTCGAAAAACGGAATAAAAGGAACACAACCCAACTTGGCAGCCTTCACAAAGCACCCCCATTTGACAGGGAGAACAATGAACCGCAGGAGTCAGGGCTGACAGGAGAAAAATCAGAGGGAAACTGAGGCCAGACAGCTCGGACCTCTGGTACCAGGGAGGGTCAAGGCACGGGTACCCACGTCGACTGGGCGCCCCAGTTCCCAGATTTGGAGACAACAAATTCCTCTACAAAATACAGTACGCTTGCACCTGCGCACGCTCCGGAGCGGGGGAACTGAATCAACTCCAGGCCGCATCAGCTTGGGGCCCAGACCCCCGGGCCGGAGGGTAGCGAGGGGGCGCGATTTCTCCCACGCGACCAGTCCACGACTCGCAGCTGGCCGGGTGCGGGGAGGGGGCGCGCGCCGACGCACACATTCCCCGCCGGGGGCCAACTCCCCGCACAAAATGGGCTTTGTCTCGGCCCCCTGTCTCCTCGACCCCGGAAAAAGCAGCAGCGGAGCCCCCCGAAAGGGGAAGGGTGCGGCGGGAAGGAGAAAGCTGGGCGCGCCAAGGCCCCGCCGATGCCTAGGCGGGCGCGTCTCAGCGGGCAGACGACCGACGCCCGTGGCCGCGCTGCGCCAGCCGAGCCATCGCGAGGTGCGGGTCCCGTTCCCGGGCCCGGGGCTCAGCCGTGCCGACTCGAGCGGCGCACAGCGGCCGGGCTGAGGTCACCAAGCGGCGGGCTCGGGCCGCGGGGTCGCCGTCCCGGACTGGCTGCAGCATGGGCGGTGACGCGGCCGGGGCGGGCGAAAGATGCTCCGCAGCTCTTCGCTCGGGCTCGCGCTGCCCTGGCTAGGGGTGGAGGAAGTACCGCGGGCGGAGGGCAAGCCGGAAGGCTCCCGCAGCAACAGCCCGCAGATGAAACTGGAGGCAAGCGACAAAGCCTCAGAGAGCGCGGGCTGCGCTAGTCCCCGGAGAGCAGCACCAGAGCTCAGGGTCCACGCACAGGTCGCGGTTCGGGGGCTAGGCGAGGCTCGGGCCGCTGCCGCCCTGGTAGCCCCAGGACCCAGCTGCTGCCGGCTGCGTCCCCTGCCCGCCCGCCGCCCACCCGGCCTGACTCCGGCCCGCGCCGCGCATGCGTTCCGTCCCCCCCTTAAAGGGCCAGTGCGTTCCCGCCGGGTCCTCAGCCTGCCGAGGCCAAGCCTCCGCTCCCGGTTATCTCTAGGATGTGGGTGGCGTTCGCTCTTCTCTATCCCCCCTTTTCAGGGCACCGTGAAGGCGGTGCGAAGCTATGGAGTAAGTTTTGTAGCCCAGCGGAGCATGCATAACTGGAGCGCCAAGTCCACGGAGATTCCGCGCTGGGAAGGCCTGCGGTAGGGAATTTCCCTAGAGGTCAGGCGCCCTTAGGGTGTATAGGCGAGAGCATTCGCCCAGAGCACTGGGATTCTAGACCGGACTTAGCATCTGTTTTCCTGTGGGACGTCCAACAGATCTCACATTCCTCTGTGGGCCTCAGTTTCCCCATTTGTCTGCTGAGGTCTTCACACTGGGTGAGCGCACAGTCCTGGCCCCCGTGCGTTTTTTAAGGGAGGACACCTGGAGTTTAAGGTCACTAACTCTGGAAGAGAAAGCGTTAAAAGCTACCCAATTTCACCACGTGATCTGCACCAGTGGGAACAGGTGTGCAGTGTTCTCTCCCAGTGCGCCTCCTTAGACCCGGCTCGGGACACCCCCAACCCCTGATCCCCCCAGGGAGGGAAGATGCACGGGGTCCACGACCCACAGGGGTGGGAGGCGAGGGTTGGGAATGGTCAGTGGGCCCAGAAGAAGGTGAAAGTGCGGCCCATCGTTGTGCTCGGGCCCAGGACTGAGGAGATCCAATCTGCTCTCCCCCGTCCCCTCCCACAGAGTAGTAACTGGGCAAAGGTGTTGAATGGAGAGCAGCAGCTAAGAACTTCAATAAAATGAGATGGCTCAGTGTGCTTTGGCTCTTGCCCACTCCTACTAGGAGTTAGGGTGAATGACAGTCTCATGGAGGTAAATGCAGATTCCTGGACCTGGGCCCCTAGAAGATTCACATTCTTTGGGTTTGTGACTGCTGGTTTTCTCACTATCCCCATCTCTGACAAGCTGAGGTTTCCTCACCTTGGCTGTACAGAGAAGGCCTTGGAGAACCCAAGGTCCTCAGTGGGTCCCCATATGTTCCTTAAAGTTGTCCCCTGAGCTCCAGTAGCAACGTCTGGCTGCCTGCAGGGTCAGAAACCAAGGGAGGTAAGTGATGGGAAGGGTCACAGGACTTCCAGAAAGTTAGAGTGTATTCTCTTAAGCTCAACGAGGCAAGAAGACTCTAACCATGTAAAAATGGCTGGGGACAAACAACTGCAACCTATTCCCCATGTAAATGGGGAAATCCAGGCTCAGAGGAATTTCTGCAAACCCACACAGCTAATAATTTGAGCTGAAGTCTTCACCAAATACTTAGCGTTCATACTGCACTTTGTGTTAGCTAAGTGGTTGTGGTGGTTTTAAAATACATTTGCAAGTTCTTTATCACTTCTTTCAGTTGATGGAGTCTAATTCCCCTTCTCTTGATTATGAGCTGGACTTAGTGACTTACTTCTGATGAACAGAACATGGTGGAAGTAATGTTGTGTAACTCTTAAGCTTAGGTCATGAAAAGGGGACATTTCTCCTGTCTCTCTCTTACTCTTCCAGGACACTCACCTTTGGAAGCCAGCCAACATGTTGTGAGAAAGCCCAGGCCACATGGGGGAGGCCACCTGAAATGTTCTGGCTGACCTGTCCAGCTAATCTCTAAGCCAGCAGCTAGCATCAATCACCAGCTAGGTGATGAGCTGAGATGATTCTCACCCCGCCTTTGAGCCTTCCAGCTGAGGTCCTGGTTGTGGAACAGAGACAATCCAACCTCTCTTGCCCTGTCTGAAATTTTGTCCCACAGGAATAGAGAGAGAAGAAGTGATCGTTGTTGTTGGAAGCCAGTAAGTTTTGGAGTACTTTGTTTTGCAGCATTAAATTGCTAATTCCATGAAATGACATTCCCTGAAATGACAAATAATAAAATAGTTTGGGGGTAGTCATTCAAACATTCAAACAGTACATAAGTACTTACTGAGTATCATCTATGTGCCTAGCTCTGTACCAGGCACTGGGGATACAGTGGTGAACAAGAGGGACTTGGTCGTTGCCTAGTACGGTTTATGGTCAACTAGTGGAGGACATAGTTTAACATGATTCCAAAGATGAAGTACTTTGCCAGTGGCTTAGTACAGGAAGCTACTGGAGCATTTACTCAGGGCAACTTCCTGGTCAGGTAGGCTGCTAGGGAAAGAAATGAGTTGGGTATGAGATTAGCATGGTCTAGGCTAGAGAGTTTTCTGGGTATTCGTGGAAGCGGGAGGGGATAGGTGTCAGGCAAGGTAGGAAGGGCTTGCAAATAGATTAGAAAATTGTGACATTGGATAGGGAAGTGTCTATCTCAATTTCATTTTAGTCAAAAGCCTATAGAGGACAAATATTTTGTCGGGTGTCATACACCTTGTAAACTGGGTCCAGATTTTAGGTCCTACATCAAATCCTCCCATGATTCCCCCAAACTTACACCCAGGGAACAACACTTCTAACTTCTCATTTGGCTCTAAGCTCTTAGGACTAATATCTCTTTTGCTGTCATCACAAGAACTGAAATAAATTAGGATGAGTTAATTCCCATTGTACAGATGAAGAAATGATGCACAGGGAAGCTAGTGAAATGACATTTTGACTTAAGCACTTAGTTCAAGAGCTGGGACCTCAGAGCTTCTGGGGACAAGTGACTTTGCTGATGACAGGCATGATGATAATGATGCCTAGCTCATATCACATATTACTGTTGTGATTGTTACACTCTGGACTAATGTTCTGAAAACTAATGCAGTGTCTTAGGGCACTGATATTGGTATTAATCCATTGCAACTTGTTTTCTTGTGACACTGAAGCTTGAGTCAAATTCTGGGGAGGGGAGTCTTGTTGACTGAGCTTGGGTCCTGGGCCCATTCCTTGGCCGGAGAAGGGCAGGGCAGCTACCCCAAAGGATTGCAAGCAGTGGGGGTAGGGCTGCCCCAAGTGAAAATGGGGTGCTGTTAGTAAAAGAAGTGCATGGAGATGCCCAGACATAGATGTGTTTATGAAAGATAGGCATTCTATGTCTGCACTGTCCAATATGGTAGCCAAAATATGGTATATATCTATTTAAATTTAATTAAATATGGTATATGTCTATTTAAATCTAATTAACATTAAATAAAATTGAAAATTGATTTCTCCAGTCACATTAGCCACATTTCAAATCCTCAATAACCGCATATGACTTATGGTTATTGTATTGAAAAGTGTGGATTATAGAACATTTTCGTCACTGCAGAAATTTCTGTTGGGCAGAACTGCTCTAGCATTCTTACTTGGGATTAAACTCTTTCTTCTTATACCTCATACAATGTGAGTATGGATACAGCAAAAATAAAGGTGAGTCAGAATCTTCGTTTATTCAGCTAAGTAGGTACTCTGAATCATACATTGTTGTAGCAGCAAGATGCCTGCGAGGGGTTTTGGAGATCTGGTCCAGTGGATCTCACATCAGAATCATCCAGGCAATTCTTTACAAGTACTGATTCCTGGGCCCTACCCAGCAGAGATTCTGGTGGAATTGGTTTGGGGTGGGCCTTGCATACCCAGAGGTTGGAAAAGTTCCCTCAGTGGTACTACTGTGCAGCTGGGCTTGAGAACCATTGCAAACTGGTCTCATCAGGAAGTGATCTGCTTCAGATAACCTGAAAACCTGAATCCACAAGGGTCTGACTTCCACTCAGGGCTCTTAGGACAAAAATCAGAGACTTCTCCATAGATTTGGCATCTGTCTGAATCAAATGCGAAATTCTTAGAGAATGTCTTCTCTTAACCCAAAAGGAATCCAATTCACTTCTAGTTAAGTGCCAAAAGAACTTCTGGTTTCAAATTGGTTCTGTCAAGCCGTTTGTGTGTTTTGTGCCTGGAGCTACATTATTCAGCCAAGTTGGTGAGATCTTCTAAACATAGCACTTTTTCTGAGCACCTGGTGTAGGTCAGGTACTTCAAGTGCAGTTTCATTGAATCTCTAGGACACTCTTACAGGGTGAGTTTTGTTGACACCAGTATACAGATGAGCAAACTGAGATGCATAGTGGCTAAGGATTGTATCTTGTCCAAACTGGCACAGCTGGGATTCCAACTCCAGAATTCCTCTTCTTTCTCCTCGGCCACCCTGGGCTGAGCCCAGAGCTGAGAGTGCGGGGCAGCTGGCAGGCAGTGGTGGGCTCTGGATCCATAGAGGAAAGAAAGCTCTATGGAGGTGAGATGTGTCCTTCGTGTCAGCGGAAGCCCTGGAGCTGATGTGACCTGGACAGCATGCTCAGTGAAAGCACTGGGACCTGGAGAGAAGGGGGATTCAGGGAGAAGATAGGTAGGGCATTTAGAGTGGAGTTCTCTGTTTGGTCAATGGTTTTGCTTGAGTTCTTTTTCTTAAGGGATTTGAAGGAAGTAACCAAAAACCATCTTGTACCTGGAGTAGTTAGCTCATAAACATCTGGAAATTATGGTGTATGTCTACAATAAGCATTATCTAATCTTGGCCTGGATTCCTGTGGGCTGGCAGAGTGTCTGTGTTGCCGTGGATCTTTACAATCTGAGTCCTTGACTGATACATCCTGGGCAGCCTGGCCTGGCCTCAAGGGACTGAGAAGGGGAAGGACTCTTTGTGTCTATACCAAAGAACTCTAACAGTGGGCAGATATCTCTCTCTGCCATTCACTGTGGGCCACGGTGTACAGTAATAGGAAATACAGTCCTTGGAGAGCAGTAAGGGCTCGACTTGGAATAGATCAGGGCTTGTCTGTATGGCATTTAGCAGGTCTATTTAGAAGCAAAGCTACAACTGGGCATAGAAAGAGCATAAAATATCATAGCTGGAAAGACCCTTAGAGATCTTTCTAGGTTTCATTTCACAGATGGGAAACTGAGGCTCAGCGAGGCAGTAGGACTTGCATATCCAGTTAGTGATGGTGATCATACTTGAATGCAGATCTCCTCCTGGCCCAGAATGCTTCCCCTGATGTCTTCTCTACCAGGAGACAAGCTCGTAGTAGATGATCCTCTGAAAGCTTTGCAGTGGCAAAGGGTAGAGATGGTCTTTCCCTGATTGTTTAGGGTGTGGCCAGGCTGTGTGTGTCAGTGGGTAGGTGTAGACTGGGTATATCTTTAGGAAGGCTCTGTTCAATGTGGAAGGCCAGGTGTTGGCCCCTCTCATTTTCCAGGCAAATCATGATCATCCAGACTTTCATCCCTGCACCGTAGCAGGTGTTTGGCTAATGGTGGGTTATCCGGTTGTCACAAAGTAATAGCTGGGCTGCAGTGGTTGCTCCAAAGCAGTGGTCAAGGCTCCGGCAATCCAAGAAAGAATCAAAGGCCAGTCTCAGCTTCCCAGCTCACTAGAAGGGCCTAAGACTTGGTGACAGGGAGAAACAGGTTTCTCAGAGCTGTCCTGAGATGATGGTGCATCCTGAAGGCTAGATCATAACCACAGACAAGTTGCAGGATGATGAGTCCATGCAGAGGACTGGGTTAATTTCTTGAGCCTTGGCTTCCAGGGAAGACTTCACTTTAGTTCAACATTTTCTGAGTCCCTACTATGTGCATGGCACAGCCTAAGATGCTACAGGCAGTGTAGGTATGCAAGACATTACTATGGCCTCTGGGCTGTTATCTGCTAAGACATGTCCTAGAACATAGTGAGCACTTACCATATGCCAGGTGCTCTACACAGAGTATTTTATGTCATCCTTACCATAATCTTTCAAGTAAGGATTCTAATCTCCATATTTCAGATGAGGAAATGGTCTCACAGTAGCTAAATGGTTTTTTTCTGGGACCTAGCCAGTGGGGTGGCTGAGTGAGATTTCAGAGTCTGTGTCCTTTCTGCTGTACCAGGAAGCCACCAGCTAATTACAGTACCTGGCAGAGTAAGGCTACTGCCCCAGCACAAGCTCAAACAAGGTATTTGCAGAACACAGAGGAGAGAGAGATTTGTCCAAATCCAGGCAACCAAGTTTGACTTTAAACACTATTGATACATGGGACCACACAATTGTTTGTTTCAGGGACTGTCCTATGCTTGGTAGTATGTTTAGGAACATCCAAGGCCTCTACCTACTAGATGCAAGTTCCCAGTTGTGACAGTTACGTCCAGCTGGGAACCACTGGTTTTAGGTTAGAAGGTTTTCTACCTGAGCCTATGAGGATCTTGTAGAAAAGAGAGGATTATGGCAATTGAAGAAAGGAGGAAAAAATTTGCTTAGTGTTTTTCCATTTGACAAAGAGTTTCCACTTGGATTTTCCAATTTGTATCTCCCCACTGGCCCTGTGGCTTGCTGGTGTTAGCACATAAGCAAATGACAGCCACATAAAGTTTCCATGGGACTGTAGGGCAGACTGGGGGGTCCTCATTGATTGCAAGGTTCTTCTTAACCAGCTCGTTCCTGGCCTCTGTTATTTCATCCACCACTGAATGCCTACTTTTCATTCTCTGGCCCCTGATCCCCTTCCAGGGGGCTTTTAGGGAATCTATTTCATTATCAACCCTCACCATCAAGTACAAACAGCTAGCGCTTAATTGGGATGTGGCTCTGTGTTAAGGGCTTTACAATTAACTCATTGAGTCCTTACAGCACCTCTAGAGGAAGGTGTTCTTATCACCCCTATTCTACTGGAGAGATGGGGCTTGAAAAGGTTCAGAAGTAACATGCCCAAATTGACACCTGCTAAGTGGCAGAGGCAGGATTTGAACCCAGAGCTTGTTGAATCTCTTCTCTGAATCACTATGCTCTGCTACCTCCCAAGGGTGCCCTTCCCCACTGGGCTGCCCCCTTGGCTTTCGGTACCTCTGTGTTGAGTTCCCAGGATAGCCATGGGCAGCAG